CAGACTGTAGCGGTGTAGGCTCAATCTTACTAGCGCTCGGCCTTACCTGACCATGTTCGATTAGCCGTCATAACATCTTCCTCATTGATCATTGTTGTAGAGACTTCTAAGAATCTCTCGACATCAAACCCCAATCTTGTCGACCACACAGTATTCGGAACAAACTGCAACACTGATCAACACATTAGAACACAAAAATGTTACTTATTATTTTCAATCCATAGAGTGTTAAAGTTAATCCTCTATTGTAGTACAACCCTTAAACGTTTTGAAGTTCAAAATATAGCAAGTGATAATCATGTTTCACGTGAACTATCAATTTACAACAAAACTTGAACAAGTTAATTAGAAAGCCTCCAACATTTCTTTTGACATTTGTTAAAATATTTAGGTACGTCAAGAAATAATGAAAATACTTGCGGGTACTCTTAATACAAATCGAACAAAAGGATTTATCTTTTGGCTTAAATAATTTCACTTTATCTTTTCTCTTCACTTTAATGATACGACAATATCGTAAGTAGGACAGCAAATTCCATTACGGTATTTAACATAAAAGGAGATCCATCAATGCGAAATGCATTATAGCCTTTACTACTTACTACTTACTTATACTTATCTTCACGCACAATCCCTGACGGGGTAGCCAGAGAGAACAGATCGCCAAGTGTCACGATCCTTACAAACCTCTTTCGCTTCTTTCAGATTCATTATCTTCTTCATGCATGCACGTCTAGGTATCCGAGTACTCTTGACCCTACCCTCTTCGAGCAATTTGCTCACATGGTCTTCGAAAGTTAGTCTCGGTCTACCTCGACACCTTTTAATATTAACTTTCGCGCTATATATTTCTTCACCATTCGGTCTTCACTCATTCGCTCAACGTGACAAAACCACCGAAGCACGCCCTTATCAATATTTGTGATAAGGTCATCTTTCAAACCTGCCATATTGCGAATCTCTTCGTTTCGCTTTCGGTCGGCCAAGGTAACGCCGCACATTTTACGAAGAGATCGCATCTCCACTGCATTCAACTTACTTTTATGCTTCTTCTGGCATACCCAGGTTTTGCTGCCATATAACAAAGTCGGTACCAACACTGCGTTATGTATTGCAAGGCGTGCACTCTTCGCTACGCCTTGCCTTTTGACTAACGCAGTCAGGGCACCATTGACTTTGTTCCCGGCAGCGACACGCCTGTCCACATCTAAATCACATCATCCATCCCGGCTAAAAGCACTCCCCAAGTATACAATTTCATTTACCTGTTCTAGACATTCCTGATTTACCCATATTTCACACTTCGTTCTCTCTTCGTCCCTTTCAAATACCAGAACCTTAGTTTTATTAGCATTCAAACGGAGACCTTTAATTTCACATTCCTCTTTCATACACGTGACTAATGCCTGCAGTTCTGCCTCTGATGGTGCAATAAGCACTGCATCATCAGCATACAGCAGACAATTTACTTTTATGTCACCCAATTTCACACCCAAACAGCTATCTTTCAGCTTCTGTGAACAGCTGTCGAGATACAGTATGAACAGCCAGGAAGACATGACACAACCCTGCTTTACGCCCGTTTGGACGTTAAACATGGGTGACAGGTCATGCCCTACCCGCACACAGGCTTTACAGTCACAGTAAAGAGACTGCACAGCCCTTAGCAATCGACCATCCACACCATACCCCGGCAACAGTTCCCACATTTTCTTCCTTACAACCTTATCAAATGCTTTCTCAAGATCCACAAAAGCACAAAAAATCTTCTGGTTAGCAGCCAGAAGCTTTTCCGTGATTATGCGGAGAGAAAACATTTGATCCGTGCATCCTCTTCCAGGTCTAAATCCGCATTGTGCCTCCCATAGAAATCTTTCCGATTTCTCTTGCATCCTACGTGTTAAAACCTTCGAGTAAACTTTACTTGCTAAACTGGTCAAGCTGATCGCCCGATAGCACCCGCAGTCAAAATGTGAACCTTTACCTTTATATAAAGGCACAATGACTGCAGATCGCCAATCATCCGGGACATCCCCCGTCCGCCAGCACAAATTGCACAGCAGATGAAAGCTGACCCAGACGCGAGGCCCACTATACTTGACCATTTCAGCAGTAACTCTGTCTAGTCCCGCAGCCTTACCACATTTCAAACTTCGAATCGCACGTTCAATCTCTTTCATACTGATGATCTCAGTGTCATCGAGGTCCGGGTCTGGCGTACCAGTCACGGCGTCATCCCCGGATCCCTCACTAAGATCATCACACGCATACATTTCTCTATAAAATTCGCTCCATCGCTGCATGACGTCCGATTTTTCTGAGAGGACGTCATTAGTTCTCGAAAGCACTTTGTTCATTCTTAAGGCCGTCGCACCACCACGGGTCCTTCCAACCTCTTTCCAGAAGAGTTTGGAGTTCTCCTTAAAGTTGTGCGACAACATTTCGTCCGCTTCCATTCTACACCTTTCACGCACTTCCTCAATCAGTGCTTTCGTGTGAACTTTCTGCAACCTATATCTTTCTTTCATCTTCTCTCTCATATCCTTATCATTACTAGAGGCCAAGTAGTCTAACCATGCTTTCTTCTTCTTCTTTACAGCTTCTTTCACTTCATCATTCCACCATGCATCTCTTCTTTTACTACTGCCTCTTTTTATTGTTCCACACACTTCTTCCGCTGCACTTACCATTCCATCCCTAAGGTTCTGCCAAGTTCTTTCTACACATTCTTTTCTGCCATCGATGGTGTCAAGCTTTTCGGCTTCCCTCGCATGATATTTGTCCCTAGTATCCGCTTCCTGAAGCTTCCAGCTTCGGATGCGACAGACCGACTGTGGTTCTGTTACTGCCGTCCGGTAGCGCCAACCCGCGAACAGACCCCTAAATCTAGTAATCACTAGATAGTGATCCGTTCCCAGGTCAGCACTCCTGAACACTCGCGTATCCATCACCTGTTTTCGCAGTCGGTCATCCACCAGGAACAAATCGATCATACTTCTCTCATTCTTTCTTTCTCTAGTATACATATGGATTTTCTTGTGATTAAACATAGTGTTTGTCACAAGAAGACCCTTTTCCTTGCACACCGCCAGTATAAACTTGCCAGCATCATTAACCCTTTTATCGCCAAACTTTCCAAGTACCGACTCGTACCCTGGTCGAGCGGTACCAACCCATCCATTCAAATCACCACATACAACAATTCTTTCGTTTCCCCTAGCCAAATCTAGAACTTCTCTTACATTCTCCCAAAACTCCTCCAGCTCAGCCCTGGACGACGAAGCTACCGGCGCATAAACAGCCAAAAGGAATAACTTCGTCAGTCCCAATTTAAAGCGAACCCAGAGAAGTCTTGAGTTCACAACCTTATATTCAGTCATAACATCGACCAACCGAGAAGACAGCAGCACCCCCACTCCCTGGCAGGCGTTCTCGCTCTCCGGGACTCCGGACCATAGAGCTAACGCCCCGCCAGGGAGCTCTTCAGTACCACTGCCTTTCCGCTTGGTCTCCGACATACACACGACATCTAATTCTCTTTCTTTCATTATTTCGATCAACTCATTCATCTTATCCCTCATACCTCCTCTAACATTCCACGTGCCAACTCTGCACTCTGTCCTCCACCTTCCGCCGTGTCGGGCTGTGCGTGACGGGTTGCGGTCCCCATCGCCGCTTTGCGCGCTGCATTCCACACCAACGGGGGCGAGCTGGTGTGCGTCGCCTTGGGGGGACGCCCTAACCCTCGTTGGCATGGGTGCGCAGCTGAGTAGAATTGCAGCCCTGAAAAGGGCTGGCAGGGGTCGCGACGAACACGCTTCTACAATGACCCCCAATATATATAGCCTTTACAAATGTAATAATTCTCATACTATTCGAAGATTATATGTGGGCAATAAGGGAGACTTTATCCCACTTCTGATGTAGGAAGTATAGTGGGTATAGTACAGAGACTAATTTTGTAGTTAGGAATAAAAATTAATTCGTTTACACGAATTAATTGTCCAATGAGTCGAGGATAAACTAGTAACGGAATACGACAAGTGTACCGTTCCACGTCAGAGCCAAGACTCTCTTAACGGCGGCCGCTCAGTCCGTTTTATACAAGCAGGACGGGCGGCAACGCAGGTGATATAAATCTTTTATTTCCTTAGGAAATTAAATATTTATTCTTAACTCAACAAATCAATACTATAATTAAAATATTTGATAAACTACGTTTAAGTAAGTGGCGCAAATATGAGCCTCTTAGAGATGATTACAAATTTGTACCATTTGCTGTAGAGACTATGAGTCCGTGGGGTGAACATGCGGTGAAGTGACTAGTGGTGATAGGAGGGTTGGTTGTTTTCTCGCTCAAAGGCTAAGTATAGCCATCAGGGAAGAAACGCAGCAAGCGTTTTTGACACGATACCACATGTAGTAGGAGTATATGATAATTTAAGATTTTAGTTCTATTTTTTATTATAGGTTTTAATATTGTATATATTTCAATAACTAATATAATATAAGCAAGACCGTTGTTTACAGCGGTTAAATACAGAATTGGTTGCCTTTTTCTTCTTTAAAAAAATGTCGTATTTAAAAACGTGAATGCACAAATTCACTATTGGCGCATTTATAAAGATGATAGAAATATCAATCAGACAGCGTTGAATTCAGAGCGTCGTGATTCGATTACGGGAAAAATGGCGAGGCGTTAATAACAGGAAAAGTGAATTGCAGGTAGCGAGGTTGAAAGTCGATAGAAAGAATTTCCAACTTACTGCCGATTGCGGCATGTTAACTTCATCAATATTTTATAGGATAAAGGTGGCAAACGAGCACACAGTCCACATCACATCTTAGATTAAGAATCAAAATACAGATTCGTCATCACACATTGATACTAAAACGATTCATTCGTCGATAGGCACTCGATAGAGTAACACGTACCTAAGTGATCTATTATTATTGCTTTTTTTTTTTTTTTTTTCTAAGTACCCACAGATATGGTCAATATGACTCAGTGTGATCAATGTAATAAGAATATTACCAAAACAAGGCCTGGCGTGGAGTGCAATCGCTGTGAAAAATTGGTACATCTGAGCACAGCATGTGCTGGTCTTACCAACAAGCAGGTATCTGCACTACGCGCAACGGACAGCCTAGAATGGACGTGCCAGGACTGCCACAATCAATCGCCAAAAAGACGTTCAATCGTAGTCCCAGAAGATGACGATGATGAACCTCGAGCAGCTTCGTCTGCTGGTAATTTTCAAATTGACATTAAAAATCTCCTGGAGGACATTTCGAAAGAAATGCAAAAAACTATAAGAAGGGAAATAAAAGACATACATCAGACACTCCAATTCCATACAGAAAAAGTAGACGAAGCCATGGAGAACCTAGAAGCTTGTCAAAAAACCATTATTGAACTGAAAAAGAAAAATATCGAACTTACGAATAAAAACAGTAATTTGGAAACTAGGTTAGCAGCCATCGAGCAACGCATGCAAGATATGGAGCAACACAAGCTTGCTATGTGTGTTGATATTGTTAATTTAACCCAAAAAGACAATGAAGATCCTATGGTGATTGCTCAAGAGATAGCAGGTAAGCTAAAACAACCTACTAGCGACGTCATTCATGCTGAACGTTTACCTGGCAAGAAAGAACATCCAGGACCAATAAGGGTTCAATTAAAATCACAAATCACTCAAGACAAATGGTTGGAGACATACAAACAAATAACCAAAAAAATCCCTGTCCCTGCTGCCAAGGGAGTCATAACGGAGCAAGCTAAAAGCGATGTCGAAACTACTTCGCTAGGATTTAAGTCAATAATAATCAGAGAAGCTTTGACAGCCTACAACAAACACTTACTATGGAACGCGAAGCAAGAACTTAAGAGTACCTTTAAATATATATGGATGAAGAAGGGAGTTCTTCGTGTACGCAAAGAAGGGCAGAATGAAAAACCTATCATCATCCACTCTATAAATGATATTAAACAGCTGAGAGAATAAATAGGTATTTATATATTATAAGATAATAATACGTTAAAAATTGTGTATGAGTACTTTTTCCTTAATGAATAGCTTACACTCCGATATAACAGAGATTAAAAACTGTATCGATGTCCAAACCTTTATAAATAATTTACCTAGTAATATTAATCTATCTTGTTTACATATTAACATACGTTCACTAATAAAAAACTTTTCTGCTCTTGAGGAAAGAATTATTTCATGTACGAAATTGATAGATGTAATAATTGTTACTGAAGCAAATATATCATCATCACTCAGCTCTTTGTACCAGATGGATGGGTATAATATGTACACAGAGTTGCGAAATAATCGTAAAGGAGGAGGTATTATTATGTACATTCATAAAAAACATAAATTTAGAGTTCATAATAAAAAAACACGGTACTTTGAATGCATTTTAGGCCAAATAACCACCCCAAATAAATATTCCGCAACTCTGTTAGCAATATACCGCCCACCCTCATTTAGTAAACACTTGTTTATAAATGAATTACACTGCACACTTAAAACTGTAAATAAGAATCACGACTTATTTATGTTAGGTGATGTAAACATAGATCTTAAAATAAGTAGTCCTATAAAACATAAATATAATACTGCATTGTACAACTATGGTCTAATGTGCGGAATCTCACAATATACAAGAATTGAAATCGCTAACTGCAAATTAAGCAAGACTTGTATCGATCATATCTATGCGAGATCCCGCACACAAGGCGTGTATACAGCGGCTCTCGGTACTCAACTGGCTGACCACCGTGCAATAGTTTTAGCATGCATCGGAACTGGCAGAGTGCGTACACAGGGTGTTCAAACTTTTAAGGGAAAATATAATAATAAAGTACTTGTTTCGCAATTACAGGATATCGACTGGCAAAATACTAAACATATCTTTTGTCCTTTGAAATTGTATTCTTTGATATTAAAAAATATTAAGACATGTTATAATAAATCGTTAATACAAATCAAAATTAAAAATGATTACAGACGTAATAACAATAATTGGATGAATAAAAAAATACATACGGCATGCAACTATAGAGACAAATTATTTATAAAATGGCTCAAAGATACAAATAATAAAATATTAAAATTGGAATACAATAAAGCTAGAAATTACGCTAATAAAATTATACAAGAATATAAAAACAAATATATAAAATCTGAAATTATTAACAACAAAACGGATATAAGAAATCTATGGGTCATTCTAAATAAAATTACAGGCAAAGTCGTTGCTTCAGTAGATAACGTTATAAGAAATGCTATGGAAACGAACACCATAAAAACTGCCGACATCGCAAATAATTTTGCGAAAACATTTAGTGATAGCGTAAAAAATATTACACCCAAATGTAACATTAATATTCTGGATTCAGCTAGTTACCGCCGTCCAGCTAACCTCTCTATTAGATTTCAAAAAGCTACTGCAGGATCTGTTAACAAAATTATCCATTCATTATGCACTAAAAAAGCTCCTGGTTTTGATGAAATAAGAATTATTGATGTTAAAAACATAAGTGATAAAATTGCACCCGTTATAGCTAATCTTATAAATATATCTGTGCAAAATGGTACATATCCAGCAGAGCTAAAAACAGGTATAGTACGTCCAATTTATAAAAAAGGTAGTCCTAAAGATTATGATAACTATCGTCCAATCACGATACTGCCAATAATTGATAAAATTATTGAAAAATTTATCACTCGACAAATACTAAACTTCTATTCAGACAACAGTATCATAACAGAAAAACAGTTTGGCTTCCAACCTAAAAAAAGCACTACACAACTATTAAGTAAATTTTCAGATTCCATCTACACACATCTTAATAATAAAAAACATGTCCTAGTTGTATTCGTCGATTACAGCAAGGCTTTTGATACCCTGCGGCACAGTACGCTTATAGAAAAACTTAATGACTGTGGAGTAAGAGGCCCTCTCAACAAATGGTGTCAGAATTATATGCAAGACAGAACCCTATATATCAAGGTTGGAGAGGAACTCAGCTCTATGGTGAGAGTTTCAGAGGGCACAGCACAGGGCTCTGTTTTGGGGCCAGTGCACTACATCACATATGTTAACGATCTGATTAACCTGATTAACAATTGTGAAATCTATCAATTTGCAGACGACACATGTTTAGTATCCGCAGACGTTAACATAAATGTCGCACTACATCGGCTCCAAACGGACTTCACCCTTCTAACAAAATGGTCCCATGATAGTGGGCTTGTTCTTAACGCCAACAAAACTAAGCTTATGTATATCAGCTCTAGCCAAAATAGGATTAATACAAATCCTCAATTAATCGTCCACGATCACGCTTGCCTTCACTCAGACCATATCAACTGCGCATGTGAACCCGTAGAAGTAGTAAAAACGCAAAAATATCTTGGACTAGTCATTGATGACCGCTTTAAATGGACCGATCACATTAACTCTGTTTGCGATAAATTGAGAGCAATTTTGGCAAAATTTTTACTAATTAAATGGAAAATACCCTTTGCAACGAAAATGCTGCTGTACAAAGCATTAGGAGAATCTGTCATATCCTACGGGCTGAGTAGTTATGGACGGACATACAAATCGCACCTAGACCTAATTTATCAACTACAGCTAAGAATTCTTAAAGCCATCGTATCACCTCACGTAAAAGACAAGTACAGAAACAATTATGATGGTCTATTTAGTTACTGTAAGATTATTCCCGTCCATGAGAAAGTTAAATTAACTTTACTTAACGAACAGTATTTTAATAAAGATATACAACACTTAATTGATCATAAAAGACGGACTCGCAGTGTGTCAAAGGCTTTGCTGACAATACCACGATCTCAAAATCATTACGGAAGACAACGACTTGCCTATATTATACCCAAACTAATAAATGAATTACACTTTACACTTAAAAATGACATTACTATGCAAAATATAAAAAGAAAATTAAAACTACATTATTTAGATGAAATAAAAAAGCATCTTACTAAATAACTATATCATATTTATGTAAGTAAAAAATGTACATATTATAAATAAATATCGATGATATTCTATGTGTTATAATACTACATTATCAAAACGGAGATTAACTAGCAACCATAGTATAGTTAAAATCTATCACTTGTAAACAGCCTGTGTACGTTCATTTGCTAGCCGGTTTTGTGCGTCTGAGTAATGACATATTTCTACTACCCGTCAATATACATATTGTGAGCGTGTGGATCTTCGCTACGATTTTAAAGCATGTTATAAGTATTTACCGTAATATGTAAGAGACAATGTCCGTACGTAGGTTAAGCAGCACCGAGTGCCGTCGATGAAGCATGGTGTACAGATAAACCTTGTTAGGTTTTTGCGACACCGTGTTTGATTAATTTAAACTTTTTTTATGTTGATTTATTAAATAAAAAAAAAAAAAAAAAAATTGCCTCCTTTGTACTATAAAGGGTCTCCAGTTTTCTACACTCACATATGGTCCACAACAACCACTTACCATCAGGTGAACTGTGTGCTCATTTGTCACACTTATCCTATAAAAAAAACTTACAGGGGCCACCTCGGGCCAGCCATGTGGGTTCTTTTTAGTTCCCCGTGGTTGACTAAGGGGAGTGCTAAGTGACTAGTCTAACAAAGATGAGTTAACGCGGTGTGACGACCTTGTAAGAGAGGCAGTCATTGAATGTAGGTAGGTGGCTCAGAATCGTACTTTGTGGCATTACTTCCAGGAATTTGTTCCTTTGTTCAGCAGTGGACTTGAGAAGAGCTGTAATATAACTGCTCTAACCGATACCTCATGGATGTGTAATCACTTGGAAAGACTTGGAAAGATTGTGGTGTACTTGTGAAAGACAGTAATGAGGATAATGATGAATCTATGAGGGTATATATTTTTACTATTTTAGATTAGTTTGAAGTTCTTGAAGAACTTCAACGGTAAACGGCAGTCGTGAAGGGACGTCCTAGGCGAAAGTTTATCGACCAAATTGGTGATTTATTGAAAATGGGCCAAATCAAGATTACCTTTAACCGACGGGCGTGTATGCGTCGGTATATGGATGTGGAGGAAGTGAGAGAGGTGTGTCAGGATCGTGCCAAATGGAAGTCTATAGTCTCTGCCTACCCCTTTGGGTGACAGGCGTGAGTGTTTATATTTAATTTTTTATATATTCTTGAAGACTAGTAGGATAACGAAGTAGCGCTTATAGTTTTAATTTATTAAAAGCACTTTATTGTACGTTGTAGATTAGAGGTCTTTAGACCTTTTTTTTAAATCCTTGGGAATATTGTGAACGCTGCCCCCAATTGCTATGGACAAAGTAATACATAATTTTGAAAGGGATGGAGTGAGAGGGAAGTTTTCCGAATATTTTGGTACTTTAGTTTTTTTTAAACTAGGTGGTAGAACTCATTTTCTGACTAAAAGTCTGTCTGGGTAGGTTACCATTACAACCTATTAAAGTCCACTGCTGAACATAGCCCACCACCATTGATTGCCTTACAGGAGGAATATTTACCACGCTTAGTAAGCAGGTTGGCAACCACAGTTTATTAGTTAAGTCCTTATTAGAAAGACGCTGCTGCCCATCTCCTGATTTGTTTCCCTCTGTCGTCTCTTACAAGACCCACGGGACGATATGGAGTAGTGGATATTCTTACACCGCCACTACACTGTAGATCTGGGTAAGTACCACCCTCTGATCTACTTCCACCAAATAGCAGTGCGAGCACTGCTGTGCTCCGGTCTGAGGGGTATAGAGTGCCAACATAATACATTTACAGACTGTGGCAACTTCCTTCTTAATGCGCAGAAGTGACAATGTATCTGTAACCTTTACATTTAAAGTTTGTTGCAGGTAAGTTTAAGTTGCGTTAGTTCGTTTTTAATATTAATTTTAAAAAATAAAAGCAAAATCTTAATTAAAAGATTAAAATATATTATATCAAAATTAAAATTAAACTCAATCCCTTTGTT